CTTTTCCTTTTGCTTAAACACAGCAATAGTCTGGATCTGCTCCTGTTAGCAGAGGTAGTGAAGCAACTATCCAGCTTTCTTGTGCTGGAACGTACCATTGACCCTTTTCACTGATAGAGGATATTGCTGATCTGATTGCCTGTATGAAACTTCCAAGGCTGATGAAAATTAAACAGTGATCCTTCCTGTGCAGGGGCTGATACAGGGAATCCAGCGTGGTTGTAGAGCATTGCAGAAAATCACAGGGTTTTGTTCTGGAGGGTTTTCCCAGCTGTGTTGGTATTGTTGATGTGTGTTGCATGTCCTCTGTCTGCTTGAGTCTTACCAGGCTTGATTATTTATTGTCAGGGAAAGAACTACAGATCCTTCTGCCAGTGAGAACCAAGACAACCTTATACTGAGCAATGATATGATGGACTACTTGTTGCTGTGTTCTGAAATTCTTCATGGAATATTAAAAGCAACCTGTAATTTTCTGTGATCACAGGCAGTCTAGATCATTAGTTTTGAGCCCTTGACTGCTTCCCTCTGGTGCTGCCTCGTGACTGTTACAGCTTAACCTTTGTAGAGGAAAAAGGCAGGCATATATTAAATGTTGCAATGCTGAGTGTAGAGTGTGTTTATTAAAAATTAGCAGGAATGATTGGTAGACTTGTAGCTATGCAATTGGAATGAAATTGAGAAGTGGAGACAGGTTGTTCACTGCCAGAGTCAGTGTCGTGCCATCTCCTGTGTGGATTCCTTCTTATATGTAATATCTCCTGTGCATTTCTTTTTTTTTCCCACTGGGAGGTTTCTGAAAGGCTGCAGGAATTATGGCTGTATCTTTAGTGGGATCCTTATGGAGGATGGGATGCAGAATCCAGGAACTGTTTCTGAAGTGCCTGTATATGTTAACTGAGAAGATATTGGGAGATCTCTCTACTCTGTGCATTAGCTTAGGACACTCTTATTTCTCAGTCTATCATGATCTCAACAGAGGTTTCTGATGCTGTTTGACTCTGCCCTGTGGTTGCCCTGCATTATATGTAACCAGCTTTTGGTTGAATTTGCATTTATCTCATTGCCTCTGACTTCTTGGGTGCTGAGAACCAAGCAAGAAAATAGTGATGGTTGTTCTTTTCTCAGGTAGATAAATGTCCTCATTACCAATCCTTTCCCCCTGCTATTTTTCTGTTCTTCCTGTGATGGAGGAGATTATGGCCAGGACTGCAGTGTAGAGGACAAGGAACTGGTGTAAAGATTTTAAGCATCTCTGTGGAGAGAGGAGAGAGCTGATGGTAGGAACCTTTGTGTGTAGGTTCTAGACATGGAATCACAAAATTGTAGAATCAGCCAGGTTAGAAAGGACCTCTGAGATCGAGTCCAACCCTTGATCCACTATCACTGTGGTTACTAGGCTATGACACTGAGTGCCACATCCAGTCTCATCCTAAATACCTCCATGGATGGAGAATCCACCACCTCCCTGGGCAGCTCGAGTCCCTTCACCAGCCTGGTTGCTCTTCTCTGGACCCGCTCCAGCACCTCAACATCCTTCCTGAACTGAGGGGCCCATAACTGGACACAGCACTGCAGGTGTGGCCTCACCAGCACTGAGTACAAGGGAAGGATCACTTCCCTGCTCCTGCTGGCCACACTGTTCCTGATCCAGGCCAGGATGCCATTGGCCTTCTTGGCCACCTGGGCACACTGCTGGCTGCTGTTCAGCTTCCTGTCACTCCAAACTCCCAGGTCCCTTTCTGCCTGGCTGCTCTCCAGCCACTCTGTGCCCAGCCTGTAGCGCTGCAGGGGGTTGTGGCCAAAGTGCAGGACCCGGCACTTGGCCTTGTTGAACCTCATCACACTGTAATCAGCCCAACTCTCCAGGTCCCTCTGCAGAGCCCTCCTGCCTTCCGGCAGGTTGACACTCCCTCCCAACTTGGTGTCATCTGCAAATTTACTAATGGTGGACTCAATCCCCTCATCTAAATCATCAATAAAAATATTAAACAGAGCTGGAACCAAAACTGATCCCTAGGGGAGATCATTAATGACTGGCCACTAACTGGAGAGAGTGTCCCTGTCCAAGCCATGGGCTGCCAGCTTTTCCAGGAGTATATTATGGGAGACAGTGTCAAAGGCTTTGCTGAAGTCCAGATAGACACATCCACAGCCTTTCCCTCATCCACCAGGTAGGTCATCTGATCATAAAAGGAGATCAGGTTGGTCAGACAGGACCTACCCTTCCTAAACTCATGCTGACTGGGTCTCATCCCTTGTCCATCCTGTAGGTGCTGTGTGATTGCACTCAGGATGATCTGCTCCATAACCTTGCCAGGCACTGAGGTCAGGCTGACAGGCCTGTAGTTTCCTGGGTCCTCTTTCCAGCCCTTTTTGTAGATCGGTGACATTGGCCAACTTCCAATCGTCTGGGACCTCCCCAATGAGCCAGGACTGTTGGTAAATGGTGGAGAGTGGCTTAGAGAGCTCTTCTGCCAACTCCCTCATCACCCTATGATGCATCCCATCCAGTCCCATAGACTTGTGAGCATCCCAGTGGCTCAGTAGGTCGCTGTTTCCTCCTTGATTACAGGGGGGCTATTCAGCTTCTTATCCCTGTCTACAAGCTCCAGAAGCCAGCTGTCCTCAGGACAACCTGTCTCACTGTTTTAAACTAAGGTAAAGAAGGTGTTAAATACCACAGCCTTTTCCTCATCTTTGATAACTAAGTTCCTGCCCATGTCCAATGGAGGTTTTCCTTGCCCCTCCTTTTGTTACTGGTGTATCTATAGAAAGACTTTTTGTTATCCTTAATGGAAGTGGCAAGATTGAGTTCAAAGTTTGCCTTCATCTCTCTAATTTTCTTTCTACAAGACCTAATTACATTCCTAAACTGTTCCTGAGTAGCCAACCCTTTTTTCCATAGTCGGTAGGCTCTTTTTTGTACCCTTATTTTCTTCAGAATCTCCCTGTTCAGGCAGATCAGTTGTCTTCCCCGCTGGCTTGCCTTTCGGCACACTGGGACAGCCTGCTCCTGTGCGTTCAAGAGTTCCTTCTTGAAGCATGTCCATGCCTCCTGGGCCCCTTTGTTTTCAGGGGCTATTTCCCAGGGTACACTCTGAACCAGTGTTCTGAATAGAAGAGTGTGTGAAAGAAGAGGGGTGGGGAGAGGTGGCTGATGGAGCAGCAGAGACTGGTGGTCCCACTGCTGAGATTTCTGTGTCTCTTTGAGCAGCTTTTAATGTGAGTGATGGCCATTGATTTGTGTCACTTCAGGTCATCTAAGAGCTGAGTTGGTGCTGATGCTGTTATTGTGCTTGATAGCTGTGGATACAGTGAGCTTGTAGGCAGAAGCACTTACCTGTTCAGGTAGATTTCAGTGG